CTGGAAACATGCAGAGATCTGCGATGGCTTGAGAGATTTAAATCTGCAATAAAGTGTCCTGCAACGTGTTGCGTTTATCTTACTTAGAAAGCCAGTATAGACGTGTGTTTATTGTGGTATCTGTAGGTACCTGTGAGTTACAGGTATCATAAATGCTTTCCTGGTTGTAGAAGATATTCAAATAGGTCATAAAGCCACCCGGAATCCCATGAGCCAAATAAAGTATATAGCCTTTGAGTCTTTGTTAGCAAATGCCTAGGATTCTGTTATACATTTTTCATATAAATTATTTGTGCCCTACCATTGTGTAAGTTGACCTAGAATGCCATCGTGCCCTTTAGTGACAGGAGAACACGTTCAGGAGCACAGTTTGTGGCCTTGATGTTTAAAGACGAAGAGATGCCTCCTCCTCCTCGTGTTCACTGGTCAGGTCCCCGTCACTAGCAGAGAAGCTGCCATTTGTTCTCTCTGGAGGGACACCTCATTCACAGGGAACTTTGGAAACTGAGGTCCCCTGCTTTTGTCACTTCCATGGATCACACTCGGACTCCCGATTTGAACATGCCCTGGAAACGTTTTCTGGGATCCCTTAGAAGTCACATTTGCTGTCATCTGGGTGCTAAGAGCAGATGGTGTGAGCCAGGGACCTTTCTCCCTTTCTTCCACCTCTTCTGAAACGCCCCTTCCTGCCCCAGGGTGGACCAGAGGGGCCCGTTAAGACCGGTGCCGTCTCTGCCCTCGGGTTCCCATGTAATAATGTGTCGTGAGGGACAGGCCACAATCGCCCCACTGCCACTGGGTGTACAGAGTACATTTGTCTCAGAAAAACCCTGGACGTGCCCCAGAGAGTCAGCTAATGCTGCCACCCATGACCCATCCGGAATGGGGTGGCCTGCAGCTGATTCCGCACAGAGCTCCAGCCATGGTTCTTCCGTCCTGGACCATCTTGGCCAGCAGTGACCCTCTGAGTCTTTTTCGTTAGGGCTTCCCAGCTGTTTCAATCCTTCTGAATTGTTCTGGCTAAAATAAATTATAAATTGTAATAGGAGGTTTGTTCCAGCATTCATATTTATTAGATTTTAAGATTTAATGACCATATGGGCCTAAAACAAATGTTTGATTTTTTTTTTTTTTAAAGAGCAGTCAAGTGAAGTCTCTTGATTTTAACTATTTAAATATTCATTTGTGGCTATAACCCATTTTTGGGTCCTGCAAAAAAAAAAGGTGGGTGGCTTTTGAAAAACAAAGGTTTGGGGCAAATGGCTGACCAAGAAGAATTTTGAAGCCTTCTTCAATTAAAAAAAAAGATTTTCGTATTTGTTGTCAAATGTAGCTTGGACCAGTTGATCTGAGACCTTTTGGTCTTCCTAGAAGAAACAGACTTTAATTGTCTTTCTTTCTTTCTTCTTTTATTAAATATGTTTTTGGTTGTTGATTGACTTCTAAAAAAATTTATTTACATGCAGCAGTGAGAATCGAACCCAGTACCTCACCCATATTAGGCAAGTGCAGTATCACTGAGCCACAATCCCAGCCCCTTTCTTTCTTACTTATTTTTTTTAATTAAAGTTTTATAGTCATACCTGGTAGTTGGGTTCATCGCAACAAATTCACATGCATGAAATTTGATGTCAATGCATGATCGCACTTTTCCATTTCCTTTTCCCTCTACTCTCCCACACCCCCATATCTTCCAGACTGGTTGACTTTGGTGTAGTTAACAGTGGAAGGGCCGTTAATTAATTAATGTTTATTTTCTAATTAATATTTTATTGCCTCAGTGAGAAGTGAATGCAGTATTCTTGAAAAGGAATTCTAAATAAGGCTAAAGTAGCCTTAAACTAGTGTCTCTGATCCCTACCCCTCCTCGCTCCAGGAGAAGCATCCCTGTCATGTTTGATGGGGACATTCACCACCAAAAGCCAGGCATGTGTGGGCAACTGTCCCCTGCCACACCTGCATTCTGCTGCTTGCTGTTTTAACACCTCATTATGTTTTGGAGGCCTTAAGTGTTTTGTGGTTTTGGTGTTTTTATTGTTGTTGTTGTTTTGGTACCAGAAGATTACACCCAGGGGTGCCTAACCACTGAGCCCCATCCCCAGCCCTATTTTGTATTTTATTTAGAGACAGGGTCTCCCTGAGTTGCTTAGGGCCTCACTAAGTTGCTGAGGCTGGCTTTGAACTCACGATCCTCCTGCCTCAGCCTCCCAAGCCACTGGGATGACAGGTGTATACCACAGGCAACCTGCAGTGTTCTTATCTGTCARCTGAGCTCATTTCTTTGAACCAGTGCAGAGTGTTCAAAGAACACATGGGTGGGCCACCCCCAGTTTATGTAATCCCTCCAGTGGTTTCCAGGTTTCCCTTATGCCAACAATGCTACAGTGAATGTCCACCTGGATGCATCTTGGGTGGGGTGTGCATCTCTGTGATGAGAAGGAAAAGTGCCCTTTAGTTTGGGTCTGAACATCGTAAGAGACTGGCCAGTGTGGATTGAAACCATCTTGCCCTGACTCCACCTGCCTGGGTGGAGATTCCTAATGCATATTTTTATATGAGGTCATTAGGATCCCAGGCAGAGGCAGGTTCTGTAAAAGCTAGCTGTAATGAAACCTGGTTTATTTTACTTAGCCCCCTAACTGAAGCATTCTTAGCTATCTGAATTTAACCATGCAATATAATATAATTTTGAGTGCCTCCAGTGATCCATATTATTTTTACGGAAATCATATGAATATACCTGAAAATGCCTGATGATTATTTTCAGATTAATAAAGAAATATCAGAATTTTTCAACTCGTTGTCTATGGGCGAAATATTTCTCCTAAGTCTTTTTTATATGTTGATATGTTTAGCAGATGGGTTCTCCCTAGTTAGAGCAAGATAATCATACCCACTTCCTTTTTGAATGATGTCACTTGGCCAAGGAAGGTGAGAGATTTAGATGTTGGAGGTGAGTTAGGTAGAAGGCTTTTAAACAGCCAGGCCCCGTGGCACACACCTGTCATCTCAACGACTTGGGAGGCTGAGGCAGGAGGATCATGAGTTCAAAGCCAGCCTCAGCAACTTAGCAAGGTCCCAGGTAACTTAGTGAGACCCTGTCTCAAAGCAAAATATAAAAAGGGCTGGGGATATGGCTCAGTGGTTAAGCACCTGGGTTCAATCCCTGGTACTACAGAAAGATGAAGAAGAAGAAGAAGGCTTTTAAGCATTTCCCCTTATTTATCTTCGCTATCTTGGGAAGTGAGATTTATCATTTCCATCTTGCCTCTGGAGAAACTGAGGCATTGAGGTTCTAGCGTGTCATGCTAAGGGTTGCCTGAGTTTACCTTAATTGAAAAAAAAATTCGTTCTTTCTAGAGTTTCCTTAAATATGGTCCTCTGACATCTTGCATCAGATGGCCTAGGAAGAGCTGTTAATTAACACTGCAGATTCCTGGGCCCCTGAGGTTGGCGCCTGGGGTTCTGCATTTTTAACAAGGAACCTAATGTTCCTGAGGCACTCCAAAGTCCCAGAGCCAGACTGTGCTGACCTCATTCTGGCAATGTGAGGAGCCTCCGTGGAGACGGTCCCCAAAGTATCTCAGCAGGAGTGATTCTTGTCACGCTTCACTTGCAGTGGGCACACCCGTGTCACTCCTCTGGGTGACTTCGTCCTCCCTCGCCCACTTCCGTTGCCTGGAATTACTTGTGCTGAACTTCTCCTGGCTTGTGGCTGGCTTGACAAGTCACTTCCCAAAGAGTTGACATCATCCCGGTACTGCACAGGAATCGCTCTCAGGAACAAGTTGAAATTTCTTCTGCAGAATCCACAGATCCCAAGTGTATCTCTGTCACTTGGTATATAAATGGAATCTGCCTTTCGCATTCTAACCCCTGCCGGGACAGAATGAATAAATAAATAAATAAATAAATAAATAAATAAATAAATAAATAAATAAAGGTGGCAGCTTGTGAAAAGGATCACTTCTGAAACCCCAAGATGTGCCTTATTTTTCTTTCTCACCTCTCTTTCTCACACTCCACGGGTGACACATTCCCTCTAAGCCTGCCCCTAGTTGCTACTGAGTTTTCTAGAAGTGCAGATATCACTGTCTGGTCCCCCCCCCCCCCCCCCCCCCCCCCCCCCCCNCGTCAGCTTGTGCCCTCCCACTAAGCAGAGGGTTTGGGGACAGCCAACCACTCTTTCTCCAAGAGCGTCTCTTTTTGTCCTCAGCTGTGTGTAATTTTTCTCTCTCATGCCCAGTGACATGCTTTGCCCTCGGGGGGCTGGACTGAGTGAGCCCCAGTCTTTCTAACAAGCCAAGGAGGAGGTTGGCTGGGTGACTGACTGACAGGCATCCAGACAGGAGCTGATGATCATCGGGGAGGGATCCTAGACCCACTTGGACTTGGGCTCCTATTTTTTCCCTTCTTCTGGCAAAAGAGCATCCGTCTTTGTTGTGGTGTTGAGCTCATCCAAATCAAGAAGGCGGCTTCTCTTCTAAAAGACAGAGAGGAGAAAAAAGAAAAAAAGACAGAAATGGAAAAAAAATTTAATTTTAACCATGCTCTCCTTTGAAACTAAATATATACCCCTTCCTCTATTCTGATTGGTCTGCTTCCGTTGACAAGTGGATCGCGGGGGAAAGGAAAAGATCCTGGACTTAATTGTAAGTTAAGTCTCTCTTAATCCAGAAGAGCATTTGAGATTCTGTCCGAGTGTTCAATTTCCCAGGCCGCTGAGGTCTGTGAATTTCTTTTCCAAGCCTCCAGGCTGCTGCAGTACAACTCAGCATAGCTAATGCAGATAGATCTGCCTGTCGCCTCCCTCCTCCCTCGGCTTTGATTCGATATGAACAGCCTGGTAACTCCGATGCTGGGGAGAAATCTGACATAACTCTGCAGATGGCTAGGTGGCCATGAAACACCTGGGGATTGTTCTTTAAGAAAAAGGTAACATTTATATGCTAATGATCTCTTCCCCCCTCCCCTCCTTTTTTTTTTTTTTTTTCTTCCAGGGCTGCCGGTTCCCAAGAAGAGCCCAAAGTCGGTAAGGACTTGTCAGCTACTTGGTGCTTGTTTGGGGGTGGGGGGTTGGCGCGGGGGTTGGTGTGGGAGGGTGTGCGAGATCTGGCTTCCCTTGGCTGAATGCATTTCGGAGACGGGAGCCGGTGGCTTGCTTTGATTAAGTTCTGGGGATCTGTTTGGTATAGATGGGGGTTTGGGCTTATCTTGTAAACTATGGGGGATTCGTGGGCAAAGCTGCAGGAGCTGGGATAAAGGATTGCATGTGAGTACCTTCACCATGCAGAGGGATCACAACTCTCCTTCCAGCAGATGAGTTTCAGAGCCGGGTTTTAACTTGCTACATACAAATGCTATTGTTTCCTTTTGGAAAAAGACTCCACCTGCTCCCTGGGTAGCATTGCTCTCAACTGGTGTTTCCAGCCGGTTCACATGGCTACTCATTCTCTCCCAGAGCATTTTTTTTTTTCTTTTTTTTTGGTGCATGGATTGATGACTTATTTACAAATTCTAAAGCCTGTAGGTTTAAGGAAGGCTTCTTTTGCCCCGTGAGCATGTCCATGCTCGGGTGGAGCAGGTTTTGCGTGGCCCCAGCCCTGAGAATAAGACATTTCCTAGCTGTGGAAATGCCCTTTGTTGTTTGGCTGGCTTTAGCAGCATTATGCTGCAGGTATAGGATTCTTTAAAAAAAAAAAAATCAATGTTTTGCTGTCCTTTCTAATCTGGTTTCCCTGAAGATGCATTACCTACTTGACACGTTAGCTAATGGCTTGGAGGTTATGGTGTTTGGGCTTGGTGGTCTGCTGCTTTTGCTCCGGGGGGCACTAACAACAAATTAAAATGCTACTTAAAAATTCAAAATCTGGAACTCTGTGTAATTGATCGGGGTGGGAAGAGGCTTCCCAGTTCATTAGCACTGGGATCCAGAAGGGTGCTTCCTGGTGACTTAAAAGATTTTGGGGGGGACGGGCAGATTTACAGCTTCGTGCATCCCCCCCCAYCCCCCGGGAAAGAAGGACCTTTAAAACTTTGCATGCTTCCAGGGCTGGGCTCAGTTCTTCCCACCTGTCTCCAAGCGTGGTGGCGCCAAGCAGAAGTTTATTAAGACAGGAGAGGGAGCTTCCTGCATCCCCGAGCCCCACTCCTAAGTTCTCCAGAGAGAAAAACCTGCAGTCATTGATGTGATTCCATTGGCATAGTGCCATGGTGATGGGGAAGGGCGACTCCAGGGCTGCTGGCCCTGTCAGTCTGTGTTAGGCAGGGATGGGCTGGTCTGTGTCCACACTGGAGCTCCAGAGATGCTAACTCGTGTGCATGTGCGCATGTGTGTCCCCCTGTCCCTTGCCCGTCGTCAAAAACCCATTTGGCCTTCAGAAAAATAGAAGTGAGTCTGGAAGACGTGTCTCCCGAGCTCGGGTTGGCGCAAGCCGTTTTTTTCTCTTTTCTCCTCCCCTACCTGCAGCCATGCTGGGCTGAGACATGGGTTTATTTTAAACACCTGCATGGCCCAGACAAGAAGCCTATGGGGAGACATAGCAGTGTGACACTGGTGGCATGACCAGAGGCAGCCAGGTGTCCCTCTCTGGCATCCTACTTACATTTACTGGGCACAAGGATTTTTGAAATCCGGGTACAACTCATCTTCCCCATAGCGTTTTGGCATTACCTGGGGAACCCCCAAAGGGTCTCAAACAGGTACAGAGCCTGCATTCACCAACGCAGTGGGCGCCCCCACCCTGGAGCCAGTTTATTTTGCAAGAGCCATGTCATTAGCAAGCAGCCAGCCAATTACTCGGGCTGCCTTCCTAGGGAAAGAGCTCTCTTAACGGCTTTGGCCACAGTCTGCTGGCTCTTAATTACCACAGGCCCACACAGTGGTGGCTGCGGGGCTCCCAAAGAACAAACCCCCCAACTTGAGGCTTGTCTTTCCCCGATTCCAGTGCCAGCACGGGGATGACGGTCTGGGCGGCAGTGCTGGTCCACTCTGGCAGCTGCTGCAGGAACTCGGGGGCTGTCAGCCAAGGTGTGCTCTTGGCAGTGGAGCTCACATCTGTGATGGGTGGGAGCTCTGCACAGGTGGGCGGGAAGCCCCTTCCCTCTCCCAGTCGGCATCTCAGTGATGTCCTACCACAGAGACGGGGGGGGGGGGGATTTTTCTGGTGGGGGATCCACAAGGAAGCTGGGTGCCCTGGGACCTGAAAGTCGCTCACTCGGGTTGGGACCGATTGGGCCAGTTCTGCAGGCTGCATGATCACAAGCCTGGGTTGTGACTCGCTTGGATTTGCCAAGCAGCTCTGTGCACGTGGTTTTGGAATCCAGGACGGGGGGCTGGGGTTGTATTTTTCTTAGAGGTTGCTGGCTTGATCGGTTTCCTCAGGTGACGGACAGCTTCTGCGTGCTTTCACACCTCATTTCTTTTCTTTTTAAATGTTTGCAATAATTAGTTAGTCTTTATTAGAGCAGAATGTCATATTCCCCCTCCTGGGTATCCCTATAAGCATATTTTTTTTCAATTTTTTTTTAAGTTGTAGGTAGACACCATACTTTTATTTTATTTATTTGTTTTTATGTGGTGCCGAGAATTGAACCCAGGACCTCGCACCAGCTACACAGGGGCCCTACCACTGAGCCCCATCCCGAGCCTCCCCGTAAGTTTATTCTTAATAAGCAGCTTCACCCACTGGATTGAGTGTGGTTGCTCAGTTTGTGGTTATAGCCTCATTGGGGACAGTGACTATGTCTTAATATCATTGTATTTATTTGATATCTGAACTTCCATAATATCAGGGATTTCTCTGCCAAACAACAGAGATAAAAATAAAAGATATTTGCTGTTGGGTTTTAGATCTCTCTAGAAAACAGATTCTCTGGCTCAACTTAGTCATCCTGACTGCAAACTTAACTGGGACTGTCAGTCTGAATCACACYTAAGGACGTTCTGTCTGAGAATTTAAAATGACCAGTGTCACACCAGACCCTGTGTTTTAAGTCACATTCACTTGGATTTTCCTCCTACTTCCTTTTTCAACTTTTTCTTTCTCTGTTTCTTCATCTGCCCATCCACCCCTCTCTGTATCCATCTGTCCGTCCATCTATCTATATGTACAGCCATCCTTACATACATTCATCTTTGATTTACTTACCCACCCGTCTGTTCATCCATTTATTCCACAAACTAGTATTAAGAACCTATCAAATGCCAGGTGTGATAGCACACGCCTGTCATCCCAGGGGCTCAGGAGGCTGAGGCAGGAGGATCGAGAGTTCAAAGCCAGCCTCAGCCACTTAGCGAGGCCATTAGCAACTCAGCAATTAAATGTATAAAAAAAGGGGGCTGGGGATGTGGCGTGGGGGTTATGTGTCCCTGGGTTGAATCCCCAATACCCTCCCCCCAAAAAAAGAACCTATCAAGTGTCAGGTTTGGTGTGAGGCACTAGAAATGCAATAATAAATACGATGCTCCATGGTTGTGGCATTGCTCTTTTTAAAGCTCATAGACAAATAGGGTCTTGATTACTCCATTCATTGAAAACGGCTTCATTGTCAGAGTTCCCCAAAATGTTGTATGCACTCACTCCATCAGCAAGTGTTTACTGAGTGTCTTCTCCTGCCACACCTAGTGCAGGTTTTCAGTGGGAACTGAAATAGGAAATACTGCTTTCATGGAACTGGTGAGAGAAACCACATGAACAGATCTTTACCATGAAAATTAAAGTCTACTGAGAATATATTTTGAGAAGTTAATGTGGCAGAAGTATAACATAGACAAGTATACACCTTACGAAAATCATTCTGCTCTCAGTCACAACAAGCAAGTAGTCACAGAAAGTCAGGACAAGATGAAATTCAGTGCTGTGACGGAGCTATGTTATACTTTGGAGTTCCCCGGCAGCCTGAGTGATATAGGAAACCAGATTATTTACTTACTATTATTGGATAAAAGAAAGTGTATTAAGGAGACAAATCTTCCTACTGACTGGAAGGGACCCTGGATGGCGGGCAAGGAGATTTCTTCAACTTCTTTCTGGCAAACTTAGCAAGATAAAAATAATAACAGCAGGCCTTTGTTCATGGCACTCCATCTCTTTTTCCTTTAAAGGGATGCTAAAGGAAAACCAGTCCTTGAGACACAAAGACGGTAGAGAACGTGCACATTGAGCGATCCCCACCTGAATCATTCAGTTTTATGAATCCTGCCTTTTTCACTCTCTCCAAGTTGCTGTTCACCCTTCTCTCTGCTCCCCCTCGCCCAAGGCCACCTGTCTCACCAGCATGGCCACAGATCCCATCACCATTCCCCAGGGAAGCAGAGAGACTGGTAAATGGGGGATGGCTGAGTGAGTTTACCCAGGTGATATTTCCTGGCCTCTCCCCTCCACACAGCTGGGTTCAGGTTCAAGATCTCAGGGGAGAGCCCTTTGGCGCCCCCTAGAACAAAGACAGTGCATTTTTTTCTTTTTTCTGGTACCAGGGATGGAACCCAGGGGCACTCGGCCACTGAGCCACATCCCCAGCCCTATTTTGTATTTTATTTAGAGACAGGGTCTCCCTGAGTTGCTTAGGACCTCACTTTTGCTGAGGCTGGCCTTGAACTTTCGATCCTCCTCCCTCAGCCTCCCGAGCTGCGGGATCACAGGCGTGTGCCACTGAGCTTGGCATAGTTTTGGATTCCGTTAAAACATGGCATTGGGAAGCAAAGCTTGTGTTCATATCCAGTCAGGGCTTTCGCTCTTCTTCCTGCACTAACTCCTTTCACATGCCTTTTGGGAGAAAGTCATTTAGCTTCGACCCATCAATGATGCCAGAGACCCCCCCCAAAAAAAAAAAAAAAAACCAAAACAAACCAACAGGACACAGAGCCATCCTTTGCTGGGTTTTGGATCTGAGTCTCTGGTTTTCATTCAACCTCCAATGACATTGACCTCATCAGCACTTGGAATATTTCCTGTTGTCCATGTGAATTGCTCCAGTGGCCTTGGGTCTTGGCAGATAAGTGAACTGTAAATAATTTTGCTTTAAAATGGA